GTCACCCAGACTGGAGTGCAGTGGCCGCTTCCAGCCACCGCAGCCTTGACCTGCTGGGCTCTGGCGATCCTTCTACCTCAGCCTTCCAAGTAGCTGGAACTACAGGCACGCGCTACCACACCCGGCTAATTTTTGATTTATTGTAGTGATGAGGTCTCACCAAGTTGCCCAGGCGGGTCTCGAACCCACGGGTTCAAGCAATCCACTCACCTCAGCCTCCCAAGGTGCGGGATTACAGGCTGAGCCACCGAGCCTGGCTGTTTCCTATTTATAATTTCCAAAAGTTTTCATGGCTCATACTTCATTTGGTATAAAAGGAGTAGGAAGTCATCACATTAGATTCAAAGAACTTAGGAATCCCAAATCAAAGGTGGTAACTGAATAGCCTTCCCACCCCCCCACCCCGTATTAACTTTTAGAAATATTTATGTTGATATCCACCAAACATCTTTCTCATATTTGCCCCCAGATTCTAATTTTGCCTTCTCTCCGAGCGAATTTTTAATCTTTAAGCTCAATATTCAAGGAGGTGTGAGCTTTCTTATCTCTTGCTAAGTGATTGCCCGGTCTTTGCTGAGCACAACATGTAGGCAGCAAACTACCTTGGGAGGAAGCCTAAGCAATCAGCCTCAATTGTTAGGGAACTCTCAGGCAGGTTCAAAAGTTGCTTCCCTGCTGCTTCTCCTTGGAAGCCTCAGTTCTACTCTTTGACACTAAACAAGAGAATTCTTCCAGGACTTGGTGTTTCCTGTTTTTGTAGATAGCTTTTATATATCTTTGCTTCCTGGAGCCATGTCATCCACCTTGAGCATTCTCTACTGCACTTCTCAGATAATAGGGAGCCAAAACCCTTTATGCTTTACTTCATCTTCTTTTAAGTGGGACCTGAATTTACCACCCTTATAATACTGTGCCTAATTTGGGGTACTACTTTTTAAAGATAATCAACTGTGATATAAATTTAGGCTTTAATTTTTTCAAATGTTTCCCAACACCCTCACCTTCCCAGCCCAATTGCCACCACCCTAAAATCACTGACCTCCAGCTGATGGTGGTGGTATCCTTGTGGTCACTTTGCATCCAATCTGACCACCTCTTGTGTCTTCACACAGCAATGAGGGTGATGTCTGAAAATATACATTTGATCATGGCTTTATGTTGACATAACCTGACCTTGGGAAATGTTTGGGTCACTTAATGTGGCTTGCAAAGCCCTCTGTAGACGCTGGGTTGCATATTTCTCCAGCATTATGTCTCCGAGGCCCTGCTTGGCTGTGGAGTTTGAGGTCCTTAGCTTCTCTCAGGAACTGAGAATGTGACTCTGGTGACATGTGTCTCCTTCACACAAGGTGCCCCTTTTGCTCAGCCCTTCCCCTCCCTCCCTTCCACATTCTTGTGTCTTGTTCCTACACATCTCAGTTTCAACATCACTCCTGAGAAGCCTTTCTAGCCCTAAACTAGGGTGGGTTTCCCTCCATATGTTCACTTACAAGATCCTTACTACTCTAGTTCCTGGTTGAACATCAACCTCTTTCGCTCCTCTGCAAGCCTGGTGGTGGGGACCACATCTTTCCTTATGACACTGTTTCTATCACCTCATAGTCACTGGTCTACACACTCCTTAAGTCTTTGTCCTGCAAAGGATCAGCCAGTGTCACAGATCAGCTCTTCTGAGCTATTGTTCTAGTAAGTGGCTTGGAGACCATCCATGATGACTATAACATGTGCTCTGATCCCTGGCGTTTACATAAATATTGTGTGCCATTGAGCGTTTGTGGAGTGTGATGTCTATTTTACTAAGCCCAGGTGGTTGTGTTGTTTAAATATGATTTCATCTTTTATTATTTTAACTTGTGAATGGCTCAGTTGATCATATTTGAAAAGAATACCCGTATTGTGCCTTCTGGAGCAATATCTTTGCAAAAATTCTGAAAGCAAAGGGAAATGTTGGACTAAAATTATCACATTTTCTAACAATGTCTGTTTTGACTAGAAGCTCCACTGCATAATTTCATGTCAAGCAGAATAAAAGTTATCTTTTTTTTTCCTAGTGATGCTTTATAGTTAGATTGTAGGGGATCTTCATAAAATATGCCAGCCATGCATCTTTGATTCAATATTCATATATTCTCATGCACACCAAATTTCAAGGCCATGTTTCAGGGGATAAAACAAGGCCTCATAAAGAATGACAGCTTATGCAGCTTACTTTAAAAAGAAGCTCTGATAAACCTTTTGCTCTTTCAAACTTCCAACTTTTTAACCCCAAATCCACTAGAGTCCAGATACTGACATTAGTTTCTAAATAGTCATTGCTCAAGGTTACATTTTTTGTGATATAAATTGTTACATATTGTTTCACTACACAAGCACATCATTGATTGAAATGATAGACATTTCCAACAGATCAATTTGCAATGGTGGAAGAAATGTGTTGTTTGCATATTCTGACATGGGGAAGTGTTCTAGAGAATGGCTGTTTGATCTAGAAATGTCATTGTTTCCTTTGACAAGAAATTAAATTCCAGAAAAGTCTGACATTAGAGGAAATAAGAGTCGAATAAAATCCTGCCGTTCCTAATGTGTTTAGGGTGCACAGAGCCTTACAGAGTTTGATTTAAAGAGTCGCGGAAAATCTTCCAAGCCACATGTGAGAGGAGCATCTTCAGAAGGTCTGTGTGAAGATACACACATGTATCCTAGAGGAGAAACACACGTGTATTGGCAAAAATCAAGCAGAAGCATGGACTAACCAACGCCTGTTGGCGAGGTGCATGTCAGAACAGGCATCTCTGGTGGAGTCGTGAGTGGCTGAAATACCAGAAGGCAG